GCTGGGCATGGGGAGAGCTGCTGAAGGGCCACTGGAAAGGAGAAAAAAAAAAGCTTTATAGGTGACACTAAAGAAGAAGGATGTTTCCAGCAGTGTCTGGGAAGGGGAGGACAGAGGTTTATGTGGAAATGAGTGAACTGCCTGTCTGCTGCCACAAAGCTATTTACTCCTCAAGGTGTTTCATTTTACAATATATTGCTATAAATATTTCAAAAGCCTCAGGGCTGCTGTCCATACACTCTGTTCCAGCTTATTTATCTACAATTACTGGTTTCAACAATGCTCACTGACAAAATATACAAGTTTTTCCACCTTCTTAGTCCTTGTTCCACCTCACAGCCAGGCTCCTTGAGGCAGCTCTGCACCAAGCCCCTCTGCTTGGAGTGCAGCCCTTCCACAGAACCTCTCTGCACTGCGGGGCTTATTTAGAATCATGGAATCACAGAGTGAATTGGGTTGGGTTGGAAGGGACCTTAAAGCTCATCTTGTTCCATGATCCCAGGCTGCTCCAAGCCCCATCCACCCTGGCCTGGGACATTTCCAGGGTTGAGGCAGCCACAGCTTCTCTGGGTAACCTGTGCCACCAACCTCACAGGGAAGAATTTCATCCTAATATCCAAGCTAAACCTACTCCCTGTCAGCTTGAGGCCATGCCCCCTTGTCCTGTCACTCCAGGCCCTTGTAAAATGCCTCTCTCCATCTTTCTTGTAGGCTCTCTCCAGGGAGCAGAAGGCTGCAGTTAAATCACCCTGGAGGCTTCTCTTCTCCAGGCTGAACAATCTCATTTCTCTCAGCCTTTCCTCACGGGAGAAGTGCTCCATCCCTCTGATTACCATGGTGGCCCTCCCAAAGCAGCACACAACACCTGGAAGATGAAACCCCCTTTGCCAGTGCAAGGTGCCAGCAGAAACACAACACAGAAACCTCTTGTGACACAGACTGGGGAGGCCAGGGCAGAGCCAAAGAGCAGGTGGGGCAGTCTGGTAACAAACCTACCACCAAAACTCACCTCCCAAAGCCAGAGCAACCCCAGCAGCTTCCAAACCACACCTCAGCACAGATGGGCAAACTGTTAAGCACCCCCAGAGTTGTTCCTGACACATTTAGCATGTTTGGGAAACAGAGGTGCACGCCTGTAAGGTTTTTTCAGATCACAGTATGAAAGGAAGTGACAGGATAATGCAAAATAATTGATTTTATTTAAAATAAAAAGCAAAACCACAATCATCCAAACAAGTATCCCAGCTCTGCTGGATGGGTGATAAAAGCAGCTAAGGGCAGTGGCAGGGCTTGGAGCTGACAGTGGGACTGTCACACGAATGGGTAACACTTTCCTTCCCCCCTTTGCATGGGGGATGCCAAAAACCTCCCGTTACAATGTACCCACACAGGCATTTCAGACTGGATTCAGCCAACATCTCACTTCCCAGCCCACAATGGCTGGGGACTCAGGGAGGAGAGAAGAAGTTAACTATGAAAGAGGGTGCTATTGTTCCTTAAAGCATTTGGAGAGGTTTGATGTAACTGAGAATACAGACTGGAGCTAGCACACTCGAGCTGGGAAGGGGAGGAAGTCTGCCAGAGGCTCCTCGGTGTCACCTGCTCCCACAGCACTTGTGCAGAGAACAGGTGCTGGGACTGGTGCCTCTCGTCCACATGTGTGGTTCTGATGGAGTGTTGGGTTGTTTCCTCCTGAACTCTCACAGCCTGTGTCCATCATTAGGCTCTAAAGCACAGCCAGAGCTCCCAAATCCCATCACCTTTCCCAGAGCAGGCAGGACTGTGACAATGACACCCAGCCCGAGGCTCTCTGCCCATCCCTGGGGAACAGGGCAGCCCCCACAGCCCCAGAGAGGTGAGGCAAAGCTGTGCTGCTGCTCTGGGGCTCAAGGAAATGAGGGGCCCACAGGGTGCTGGACCAGCTGCAGCCAGGGCCTCTAGAGTACAAAAGCAGCAGAGTTGGAACAAGAGAAAAGGATGTCCCAAGAAGCACAAGCCTGGAGAAATGAGAGCAGAGCCCACTCTCCCCAACCAGCTTCCCACAAGCACGGAGAGAGGCACAAAGGGAGCACAGTTTGTAACTGTTCCTCACTCACCCAGCCTGGAACGAGGGCCTGGGAAGCACCAGCTGCCCCCATTCCTGTAAGGCCAGTGAAGCTGACTCCCTGATGAGAGAATTGCATCTAGTCCTGTTTAAAAACAGATCCTGCTCTAACAGCACCTCCTGTTTAGAGCAGGCCATGAAACAGTAACAGTTCCTCTGGTGAAAACAGGAAGTCTTGTTCTGCTGTAATTTATGTACCACACTGCAGTTCTGCAAGGGCCACCACAGAACACCACGTGGCCAAGAGTGTTGAACAACATCCCCAATGTTTTCTGCTACAAAAAGCTCCCACCAGGCTCGGAAGTCTCAGGTTGCTCAGGATGAATGAACACCGTTTTTGGGTGGATGGCTTCAAAGCATCTTGCACAGCAATTACAGTTCAGCCTCACAGCAGCCCTTCGAGGTAGGGATTTTCCTCACTGCTGAAACAAAGACTCAGCAAGGTGGCTGAGGCAAAAGCCAGAAGTGGAAGAACTGGAGATCCCAGAGTCCTGATTCTCAGGTAGCCTGCACAGACACTGTTTCACAGCAGGAATGCCCTGTGGAGCAGTCAGGAGAGGGTTGCTGGTATCATGGTGTCTGCAGTCCATTGTAAACTGCTTTTCTGTCAGGGGTGTCACACCAACACAGACTTCACCTGGACTTACTTTATTTCCCACCGTGGAAGAGCTGCATCTTCCCACTGTGCTTCTAGAGGCAGAGGTGTGGCGTTCCCAGCACAGCAATCAGGCTTTCACATTAGATTTTAAGACTGTGCAAACTGAACCACACGTGCCAAATGCAGCTGTATGTCACTGAGGTGCTGCCCAGCTACCAGAGAGGGCAGGGACAGCTCTCCAAGGACTCCCCTCACCATGACAGAGCTGAGTCTTGTGAGCCTTTGTCTCTCCAGGCCCCACATTCTTCCAAAAGGCCACAGCTGCAGCCTTCTCTGAGGACACACACAGACTGTGCAGGCTTCCAGGATGTTCAGACTCAGCCAGAAATGCCAAGAGTTGGAGAAGTTGGAGGTTTTTTTAAATAACCTTGTGAAAGAATCTGCAGTGGCTACAGAGCAAGTGTGCTTGCTTCTGCCTGGCTATCTATCACAGGAAATTTTGGGAGTCTGGACAGCTAAAGAATGTATGAATAAACCTTCCCTGTCTCCATTTCCCCACCACCACACTGCTCTTACACAAACTGACTGGCACAAAAGAGTGAAAAACAGAGATCCCGACAAACATATTTAGGATTCCTTTGTACAAAAGGATATGGCCCAGGAGTGTTTAAATAAGGAAGAGACAAGGTTAAAAACGGACCAGAGAACCCAGAAAAGCAACACTCCAGGTTCCACCAAACTCAACACTTTTAAGAAAGTCACAGTTGAGGATTTAATCTCTCTTTAATTTGCTCTTTCATCAGTGCCTGGGTATTGCTGTGTGTTTACTACATACACAGCACTTCTGTAGTTTCCCAAAGAACGGCTGAAGTGAGTTCTGTACCCACCTCCTAGGGCTCAGAAGAGCACCCACTGAAGCAGCCCATGGGAAGTTCAGATTTCCTGGCAGCACCTTCAGCCACACAGAGACACCACCAGCACAAGCCCCTGCTAATATAACAAACCAGCAGCTCCAAAAGATCCCTTGGGGACGAGAGCTTTACCTGGCATAATACAAATGCACCTACACAGACTTAAGCAACACACTGCATTTTTAAAAAGCATAAAACAACAACATGTACCCCCTCCTCAATCCTTTAAAATTGGCACTGCAACTTTCAGAAAGGTCTGAACACATAACCTCAAAGAAAAGTTATTTAGGGATGTGTTCTGCACTGGGCTGAGCAAGCCCATGGCCCCAGAACTGTTTGGTGTTTCAAGCCCAGCAAATGTGATCCTGCCAGAGTCAGATTTTGTCAGCAGTTGCCTTGTGCTAAACATCACACCTGCACCTAAAGGACTGGAATTACTGGCAAATGCTGACTTTTTTGCCACCACAGTTTTTGCTGTGCAAGAAACTCCAGGACTCTCTTGCTCCATCAAGCTTTCCATCACAAGGTGCTAGTGCAGCTTTGTTACCTGTCACTATGACAGACACAGAATGGAAGCAGATGGACTGTTGCTGGTTCAGGTGTTGCACCTCAGGTGTGTGCGTGGAGCATGCAGATTCAGATCACAAAACATGCTTCAGGTCGGTGGTCACCTCTCTTGAAGTTGCTTCAGTACTTGGGAGTATTCACACCACCTTCCCTTCCTTGGCTGAACAGGGATCTTCTCTTGCAAATAAGATGAAAAAGGAAGGTGTTTGCCCAGTGGAAGCAAGATCAGGTAACATGGGAAGAATACAGAAATGCTGCTGCCACTGTAGGAAGAAAATTCACATGGCCAAAGCTCAACTAGAGATAAAACTGGCCAGAACTATGGGGGAAATAAAAAAAGTTTTTTCAAATATATTAATGGCAAAAGGCAAATTAGAAATAACACTGATCCATTCCAGGATGAGGATGGTCACCTCACAATCAGGGACATGGCAGAGGTGTTGAATGTTTCTTTGCCTCTGTCTTCAGCACAGATGAAGGACCCAGGGGGTCTCAGTGCCCTGAGCTGGAGGACTGTGACAATGTTCAACTCCTAGTCAACCCCAAACCTCCAGATGGATGCCTACAAATCCATGGGGCCTCATGGGATTCATCTGAGAATCCTCAAGATGTTGCTGATGTCGTTGCAAAACCTCTCAATGATTTTTGAGCAGTCTTGGGAATCCAGAGGGGTTCCAGGTGACTGGAAGCTGACAAATGTCCCAGTCTTCAAGAACAAGGAGGACCCTGGAAGCCAGAGGCCTGTCAGTCTCACTTCAGTGCCCAGCCAAATCATGGAAAAGATGATTCTGGGAAGTACTGAAAAACACCTGGCTGATCCAGGAAAGCCAGTAGATGTCACCTTTTGGACTTCAGCAAAGCTGTGGCTCTTGTCTCTCCCAGTGACCTTCTGGACAAACTGCCTAGCCCGCAGGTATTACCTGTGTTACATGATGGGTGAGCAACTGGCTCACATGTTGGACGCAAAGGGTGACAGTGCCTGAGGTGACACCAGGCTGGCACTGGTCACTAGTGGGCTTCTGCAGGACTCCATCCTCACCCCTGTGCTCTTCAACATCCTCACTAATGACCTGGATGCAGGACTGGAATATTAAGTTCGCCAACAACACTAAATTGGCAGGAGCTGTCAACTCCCTCAAGGGTAGAGAGGCCCCAACAAATTAGAGATGGGCAATCACCAACTGTGTGGAGTTTTAACAAGGGCAAGGGCTGGATTCTGCACTGGGATCCAGGCACTCCTGGTTGTGTGGACAGGCTGGGGAACGAGAGGCTGGAGAGCAGAGCTGTGGAAAGGGACCTGGGGGTCCGGGTTGGTGGCAAGCTGGATCTGAGACAGCACTGCCCTGGAGCCCAGAGGGCAAACCGTGTCCTTGGGGCATCGGGCCCAGCACTGCCAGCCAGGCAGGGGAGGGGATTGTCCTGCTCTGCTCTGCACTGGGGCAGCCTCACCTTCAGTGCTGGGGGCAGTTTTGGGAACCACAACATCTAACAGATATGAAGCCACTGGAGAGTGCCCAAAGGAGGCCACGAGGATGGTGAAGGCTCTTGAGGAGAAGCTGTATGAGGAGTGGCTGAGGTCACTTGGTTTGTTCAGCCTGGAGGAGACTGAAGTCAGGCCTCATCTGGGTCTTCAGCATCCTCACGAAGGACAGCAGAGGGGCAGGTACTGATCTCTTCACTCTTGTGACCAGTGACAAGGAAATGGCTGGAGCTGAGTGAGAGCAGGTTTAGGCTGGATATCACGAACAAGTTTTTCACCCAGAGGGTGGCTGGGCACTGGAACAGCCTCCCCAGGGCAATGGTCACAGCACTGAGCCTGTCTGAGTTCATGAAGTGTTTGGACAATGCTCTTGGGCACAGGGTGGGGTTCTTGGTTTCTGTGCAGGGCCAGGAGTTGAACTTGATGATCCTGATGGATTCTTTCCAAGTGCCTGTACTCCAGGACTGTATGAGACACATTCTTGGAAGCACCAGCCCTGACAGCAATGTTCTTCTGCAGCAAGGTAAGATCCAAGGACTCTTTCCACAGCTCAGTTCTTGCAGAAGCTCATTTCTTCCTTGTTCTTCCCAAAATTCTGGTGTGAGATCCACCGGACGTTCCGACAGGCCAAAAGGGCCGGCGTTCCTTTCCTCAAGTGTACAGGACAACATGTAAACATATGACAGTGTCAAAGCAAGGCAGGCTTTTACATTTACCTGCTGGTTTTAAAAAGAGTTCTTTAAAAACTGACCGTTGTCTTCCTTGCCAGTTCCGTGACCCATTAAATACTTGGCATGTCCTTACCCACAGCTGGGTTCTAGTGCACTCACCCGGGGCGCAGAGGGGACAAAGCATTGCACAAAGGGCACAGTCGGGGCATTCCCCTACAGGTTATTCAGGAGCCAACCTCGGACAGCACGTAACGAAGGTGTCTGGATCGAGGAAGAGTGACACAAACTTAAGGAGCATGAGAATGGAAGCAGGAGGGGGTAGAACAGAGCTGGCTGGCTGCTAACGGAGCTTCGATGGGCAGCTGCCTCTGGGCAGGTGGTGCTATCCCTCACGGGTAGCTGCGGCCTCCACAAGATTCCCTAATCCTGTCAAAAAAAGTACAACTGCCTTTGAGCATTCCCCTTGTATCAGGGCACAAGATCCCAACATGCAGATTAATCTCAGGCTCATTTTTCCTCCAGCATTGTACAAGCAGGGTTAAGATTTCATGTTTGGAAGCGTTTCTAGCAACTAAGCCATCACACAGCTGGAACAGAACGCTCACCCACCCTCACAGAGTAAAACAATCAACATACAGGAGGAAGAACAGTGAAACCCAGAAAGTAAATGTTCTAGGGAAGGTGCTAATTTTGAATATTTAGGGTATTCATTTCGAAATTTGAATGGCAAATAATTTAAAAATGCACGTTTTTTTCAGAAGAATAGATCTGCATCGTGATCTGCATTTTTACAGCTTTCTTTTAAAACCAGGATCTGCATTAAGGTTTGTTCTTTCCTGCTGCTCATTCCCTGCCTGAAGTCACACTGGCTGTCAAAATGGCATTTGACAATGTCATAACAAGCAAATTGTGGAAACCTCCAGGGCAAAATAAGCAGTTAGTACAGCTCTCCCCAACCTTTAATGATGCTCTGTACTTGTAATTCAATTGTATTCAGTTATGAACAACTGCTGGAAATAAGAGAGCAATCTACAGGAGCACACAGGTCTTCAGGCAGTCCTCACACTGGGAAGTCAGGCTGGAATCATGCTGGAATATGGACTTCCTCAGGTAAATGACTGCTGCACACCTTCTTTAGCAAGCCACATACTAAGCCACCACAGCAGTTGCATCCATGCCAAACCTGGAGCATCCAAGAGCTCAAGAGCTGGCCAGCACTCTAATGCAGGCAGGCAGCCAATCCAGCAGCACTGGTTAACCAAGCTGCAAGGAATTTGCTTAAGAATTTTGGCAAGCCTCTGTTATATGAGAAAAATGCTTCATTTAGCAAAGAATGTTTAAGTTCTTCCCTGCAGTATACTCTCAGATTCCCAGTGTTCCACTGTTTTTAACCTGGCCTGTCCAGAGAACTGCTTTCCTCAGCAACTTTACCCTAAGAATATCTATCCTTGATTTTGCAATTTTCATGTTGCCTCCTTCCACACTGAAACTTGCTCAATATTTATGTATTTATTTATTTTAAATGTAAATACAGACATTTGGAAATTGGGATGAATTTTGCCTTTAACAGATAAAGCAGTGGAACAAACTAAAATAGACAAGGCAGCAGTAAGAGAAACTGTACAACTACTTGAAGGCTTTCTGTTTGAACAAGACATTGAAACCCAAGTGTTGCCTGATCATTTTTCATCTTTAACTGTTCACTATTAATTTAAGCTCTCTGAGGAGCAGTTAAAACATCCCACCTCTCCCATTAAACAAAGATAAAATCAAATCCTTTCATCTATTAAAAGAGACAACTAGGAAAAGTAATAAGACTGTTTATTAAATAAAACCCCTGATTAAAAAAAAAAAAAAATCAATAATCTTAGTTTTCTGATGGAACAATTAAAATAAGTCATGGAGGGAAGATACCACTGGTCAACTGTAAGGAATCCCTTGCTCTCCATCCCTCTCTGCCGTGGAATCCCCTATCTGAAGTGTGCCAGCTTTCCCTTGTATTGTCCTGTGCTTGTTTAAAAGCAACGGCTGCCCGGGGTCACCTGGAGGAGCTGCGCTCTTTGCTCACGCAGTCGTCCTGGGAAGTCGTGTCCCCGTTGCCCATCATCCCGCACGTCCTCCGCTTCTTCCTGCGGTGCATCATCCCCTCTGTCTCGGAGCCAGAGTCACACTGAAGGATGGAAAAATGAAACCACAATTCAGAGCAACCCTGAGCTCAAAGAATGTGCTGTTTTAGGTTTGACACAACAAGGAAATTTTAAATTAAGCATTGAAAAATCAGGAACAGAAACGTTCTTGGATTTCATGACTGGCTAAAGGTGACTTGAGGCAAGACAATGAATGTGTTCCTAGAGGGACCTCATCTTCCAAGAGAAGACTCTGGTTTCTGAAGGATTTAGGTGTTGAGAAGAGTCCTGTGTTATAACTGGCCTGTTCTGGATTTTTTTTTCCCTCTCCCAAGTTTTAGAACATTCATTCTGCAGCCATTTTCAACAAGCTAAATGAGTGACAGATTTATATATAGGCAGACATGGATCAAACAGAATGAATACATTTAGCAATGTGAAGAGAGGCTCCAGCAAACAGAACCTGGTAAGATCACAGGCTCCTCCACCATGCAGATTGGTTTAGCTGCTTTCCTTTAATTTATTCCATATGGCATGAATATAAGGATGAAGGCACACATGATCAGATATGGAAAAAGAATATAATAGCAGAATATGGATCACCTATTGCAGTAGAAAGCATTACCTCTGAATCAGAGTCGGAGGAGCTGGAACTTGATGAACTGGAAGAATCACTAGAACTGTCAGAAGCAATACCAGTAGATTCCTGCAGGTCAACTGAATCAGCCAAGGCTGCCAATTCAGGATGTTCCTGCTTTAGGATCCTAAATACAGTTGAAATTCCAGGGTTAGCCTTTGAATTGTAACACTGCACATTAGTGAATATTTGTAGGTTTTGTTTCCAATGGAGAATATATAAAGAGAGCTACTGAATCTCTTACCTGTACCATTTCCGTGACAGTTTAGGTCTCCCTCTTACTGTCTTGTGCCACACCACTGGGAAGTTGGTACAGCTGGCAAAGTTTTGTGTGATGGCAATAGTTGTGTCAAGATTGAGAACTACGTGCCACCAGCCACCTAAAACACAACACCAGTGATCATTGGTGGCTGCATGGCAGAGAGCAAGTTCAACAACAGCCAAGAACACCTCTCCCACAGTGCAGGTGGAACTGGACCTTATCTCCCAAGCCCAGGTGAGTTTTCCAACACATCATCTTTCCTGTCTTACTTCAGCTTCCACCCCAGTGCCTGACAGGTTCTTGTTACAGAAGGCAGCTCCATGCTCTGACCAAATTACCCAGCTCACACACGGGACTGAAGATGTGACCTGACAGCACCACGCTGGCTGCTGACAGTTTATTTAACAGCAGCAGCCATTGTAACCCAGACAGCACAGAGCCCTTTCTGTTCAGCTGCAGAACACTTTCCACGCTGATTTTGCAAAGTTCTTATGACTACAGACTAACCTTTCATTTAAAAATAGATGCAAAATTGTTTCTCCACACAGGATAAAAATAGTGGAGTTCTTACAACCCACTCAGAGCCTCAGAAAAGACTGAGGGAACAGTTTAATGGAACCCGACAGCTACAAACTCTTAACAGAAGGTACACTCAGGAGTCACTAATAAGTGCCAAGACAATCACAAGGCACCCTTCACACACCAAGTCAGCTGGATGTTAGAGACAAGCAATGTGGACAGAAACTATGGGCTGTGCTGCACATAAATGATGCAAGACTCTGAGGTTATGATCTGGTACTGAACTCACCTCACCCCCACTGAAAATGAGCACACAGTATGCAGCCACTCAGAGGGAAGGGCATCTTAAGCAAAGCTTTATTTAGCTTTTGATTTCAAATGCAAGATGAAGCATAATCACAGAGAGGTGGGTGGAAGGTGTCAGTGCCTTTAATTACTTCGTTTCCCACAGCTAAGAAAAATTCATATCCAAAATTCAGCCACGAATTTGCTCCACCATGTATAAACTCAAACATTTTTGTTTAGAGTTACTGGGGCTCAAATACCTCTATTATTTTATGCCCTGACAGCTTTCTATTACTGCAATTTAGTTCAGATTACATTCCTGTGATGCTGCAATGCAAATCCCACTTGTTTTGCCATCTGTATCACATGCAATCCCATGTCACAGGTCATACACGTTTTGTGACATTCAGGAAGTAACTGAATAGTCTCAAAATGAGCTCAGTTTGGTTTGTAAGAAATGGGCCATATAAGAAAGGGGAAATGTTCCCTTCATCTCTATTACACAGGAATGTTACAAATATGCTTTTTTTTCTCCCAGATTTCCTTCCTGGAGAGATTTGCACATACCTGGCACAAAGACTGTCTCTCCTGGCTTCTGTAAGACTTCCAGGGGTTTGAACTCGGGGGGCCAGGTGGGAAGCTGTGTGCGAGGATAGATGACATTGAACCAGGTGATGGCCTCGTCCTGCTGGTTCCCTCCCTCTTCCCGTGTCACTTTGATCAGCTCTCTGGGAGTGCTGGTTGGGAACAGGCACCAACGCTTATGTCCCTGGACTAAGGCATTCCATGCACTAGTTCCCAAGGGATCGATGTGAATTCCTGTTCCAGAACGAGGTGGGCCCATCACAAACCATCTGCATGGGGGGGGGGAAGAAAAATGTTTTAGTCATAGAGCAGGCAGGTAACTCCCTTTCTTCATGTTAGACAGAGAATTACAGCAGTTCATTGCACATTCAGTTAGAAATTAAAGTAACTACAGTTCCTTCATTTACATTCTTGATTTTGTTAAGTTCACACTGCAGCAAAAGGACATAACAGGAATTTAACTTAAAAACCAATATGAATCGGGACAGGAATGACTGTGGGATAAGTAAGAGATTACTTTTTCATATGTCATAACTGTATTTTGTTTTAAACAATTCTTTAGTAAAATGGTGATTTCACAGTTTATGAGCATGATTAAGTCCCAACAGCCCATGCTGGGACGCTTCCTAGGCAGGAAGATTCTCCTACAGTTTTCTAAAACTTGCTGCTCAAACAGATCAGAACTGCAGAACAATGAGGAACAAAAGGCACCAACAAGGAACAGAACAAGTTATGCAACTCCAGCCTCTCTCTGTGCCTTCTGTTCATTCACAAGAGGCTTTTCATTCCAACACTTAACTACATGGAGCTTATTCTCCAGTGACCACTCAGGATTTGAGGTTTATATTCCCCCTGCCCATTTACAAGGTTTATTTCTCCCAGTGGAGAACTTTATCCACCGTACGTGTTTAACTGCAGCAGCACCTTCAACTGCTCATTTCCCTGGAACAGAGCAGTAAGACCAACTACACCAGAAAAAGCACTGTGAGGTGACTTCATACCAGGCATCAAGAGGAAAAAATGACAATAATTGTTTCACTGGCAGCAGAGAGTGCAGAAACTAAAGAACCAACACACTCCCTCCATGGTGCAGTGACAGGCAGGAGATGCCCAGCAAGAGGAATGCAAAGGTTCAGAAAATACAGCAAGTTCTCCATCTCCCCTTTCCAGTGCAGGTGTAAATCAAGCTGCTTTTGAAGGATGATTGGTCAGCATCAATTGTAGGACAGTAAAGTTTGATTATCAAGCTCCTTTGTTCTTGCTTCACAAAGGAGCTGTAAATAAGCAGGTGTTTGCCATTTCGAGTGCCAATTCACTGTTTAGATTTATATTATGCTTAGAAAGCTGATTCAACTACAGGTAGAACAGTCAAGGCTTTCATTAAGAAATCAGAAAAAATTATACACATGAAGGTCTGTCTGGTACAGACATATGTACTGTTCAAATACCCTTTTTCTGACAATAACCTGAATATACACACACAAAGAAGGCTTTAAAACCCTTATTAAGCAACACTGTCATTTGCCAGCACCTTCCTCCAAATATTTAACTTACAATGAACAAAACGCAGTTTGCCTCAAGACATTAAATTTACCATTAAACACTTCACAACTCCTAAATTCAATCTGAAAGCAAACCCCAGGCCCCTTCCCCAAATTAAAATAGCTGCTTCAGTAAATGGCTTCCAAAAATGACTGTCTTTATTTTAAAGAGGAACAATGCAAATAAAAATGTCCTAAACAGCACCAGCTTTTCTTTTAAGGTCTCCACACTGTCACACACCTCTCAATCCAGAAATGAACCTGTACAGGTCATATCCTCCTCATACAATTAACTCCACTTTCTGTCAGATTTTCAATTATGCTCTAAAAGTACTGCACACTTATTTCTGTACCTAGATGAACCCTCTAACTCCAGGAGACATTACTGTGCTCTCGTGCATCACTCAGCTCTCAAAAGACCTCAACAGGCTGAAAAATACCCACATTTCCCAGAAAAAAATCCAAGAAGTTGGATACCACGATCACAAGCAAGGAGCTCAGCATGTGCCTGTAGGTGGGGAGGGTGTGGGGGAAAAGAGAGCAAAATAAATGAATCAGTACCAGATTCTCTCATTCACCTCTAACTTGGGTAAATGCTCTCTAGTTCATTAAGTGTATGCAGTTTCTACTATACCCAGTGTGGTTTTGTGTTCGATCACAGTGTTGTATGTTCTTAGAAGAGAATTATGAAAAGCACTGCAAAAACACCTCGATCTCAAATGGAACCAGGTTCTTGTTTCACTCCTGCAAAAGCACAACTGGACTACAGACACATGAGAGAGTGCAGAGGAAAGTGCCATTACTCATGAGCTCTTGCTCAATTTTATTTAAATAAACCACATCAGAGCCTCATGTCACTCAAAGGGCAATGGGCATTGTCTGACAATTATAATGCCACTGTAAAGACTTTAATTACTTGGGAGGGTTCAACTTCAGCTCATACTGCTATGAAGTGCCATAGTAACATAGATAAAAATGGCTTTTTTATCGAGAAGCCCAAATACAAGGTTGCTGCATTTGCATTTATGAATTAAATGTCATTCCACCCTCTTCCAAAGTGAAGCAAAAATAAATTAAGACTTGAAAAGGCTACATAGATGTGAAATATTGTTCTCTCTCAAAATCATTTGAAGGGGAGCTAAGAACTAGTGCCCACATTAGATCCTAATCTAACTCAAGATCTTTACTTTAAAAGGAGTGGCTCGTAATGAAACACAATTCCACACTGTACATAAGCCACTGGTGCAAAACCCAGGAGCCGTTCCTGAGGTATTTAAAATTTGAACCCTAGAAGGCATACACAGGAAGAAACTGATCCTTATACCTCTCAGTAACTATGCAATTTTTGAAAAAAACCTAAGAAGTGATGTAAACTGACTTAGTAGAACAAATTTAAAAGAACTCCTACACCATAAACCTGTAGCAACACTGGTGGCAGAAGGAGAAATTATGATATAGATCTGCCCTTCTCTCCCACAGGACTACAGATGTACACTCGATTCAGAGATAATGTAAAACCATCTCTTTTTTATGTGAGACAATCCCAGGTATTTAGGAACAACCAATGAGCTGGAAAATACCCAGTTTTGTCTTGCTGTCACTCTACCTGTAGGGCGGCCTCCGTTTCTCCCCTGCATACTGAAAGAGATCATCAGTGAAGAATTTGGGGACTTTGTAGTCCTCCAGGAGCTTCCTTCGCTTGGGATGCTCTCCATAGCTGCTGTCAAAGATGTAGAGGGGGCTGTCATCACGCGTGGTTTCCATGTACTCGATATAATATTTCATCTTCATCTTCACAGAGTAACCATCGTTGTCCTCCCCACATTTGAACTTCTGGTTCCTGTACTTGCGTTTCAGCCGCTCCAGCGTCCACTTCTCCTGGGCAGACCAGCCCACCTGAGCGTTCAGCAACACCACGGGCTTGTAAGGCTTTTCATATCGCTCAACAAACTCCTCCACTGTTAACTGGAGTGCATCTGCCCTCTCCACGTTATCCTGTGAAACCAAGGGAGGAAAGCAGGACAGATATTAGGACAGACTGACGTCCTAGGACTGCGCTTGCCTGTGGGGGAGCTTCACACATATCCTTTGCTCCACACACCACGAGGGTATGGAGCTGCCTCTGCGCTATTTTAAGCTCCCCGAGGCTGCAGCCCCGTTTCTCCTGGCCCGCTCCCTGCACACATCAGTGACACCGGCCGCTCGAAGCCTTTGGCACTGCTCCGCACCGAGGCGGCTCCCCGGGCAGCGAGGCCACCCTGCCCTTTCGGCTGACACATCCCTGCTGCATTTCGCTCCGTCGGGACACCGGGAAGCGCTCCTGGGAATTACGCGGATGCCCGCTCCACCCCGGCGGGCCCCGACCTTCCCGCACGCCTCGCCACGTGGAGGGAAGAAAGTCCCGTCCCTCACCGAACCTCTCCCTCCCGACAGCTCTGAGGCAACCCCAGCCTCAGGAAAAGGCCCCTTCCCACTTCCCATCAGACGTCCCGCAGCTCCCCCTTCACCTCAGGCATTCCCAATCTCCTCAATCGCCTCCTCCATTCCTGTCCCCTCAGGGCTCTCCTGTGCCAGTCGTGTCCCCACCCCACTTCCCTCAGCCCCCCCACCCCGTTCCCCTCAGGTCCTTCTCCCGTTCCCCGCAGGACTCGCTCAGCCGCGCCCCTCTCCATTCCCCCTTCCCACCCTTTCGTTCCTCATCCCCTTCTTTCCCCTCCGCCCGGCGCACCTTGCACGCGGTGGGGCTGAGGGGGAAGGTCTCGCAGTAGTTGTGACGGGTCCAGTCCAGCGAGTCCTTCAGCTCGGGCCGGGCGCTGCGCTTCGCCTCACGGATGCGCTTCTTGCTCTTGTGATTCATGGCGGCGGCGCTGGGGGCCGTCACCGCCCGCCGCTCCCGGCCCGACCCTGATCCTGATCCCAATCCCGATCCCGGTCCCGCTCCGGCCGCACCTTCCAGAAATTTCACCCCGTGCCGCCGCTGCCGCCGCGGGCCCTCCCCCGCCGCACTCCCATTGGCCGGCTGCACCTCGGCTTCCGCCACGCCTCGGCGCTGATTGGCCGAGACTGGGGAAGCGGCGCCCCCGCGCCGCCATGTTGAGGAAGGGCAGAGCGGGCGGCACGGAGGCAGCGGGGGCGCCGGGCGCCCTTGGCCGCGTAATCCCGCGGCCGCTCGGGGAACCCACCGCCGCCCTCCCCGCGGCGGACCCGCGCTCTGCTCTTGCTGCTCCCCTGACAGTGGTGGGCCGACCGCGCGTCACCCGGTTTCCTTCCTTCTCCAGGAAGCGGCCCGCGAAGGCGCCCGCCCCGCCCCGGCGGGGCAGCGGCGCGGGCGGGAGCGGCCCGGTTTAACCGCGCCCCCCGGGGGAGGCCGCGGCTGGGTGAGCCGCTCTTCGCCATCAGCGCCCGCGGCGGCGCTCCGAGTGACGTCACGCCGGGAGGAGGCGCCGATTGGCCGGCGCGGCCTGGCCCCGACACGTGTCCGCTTGCGATTGGTCCATGGCGGAGCCGCGGCGGCAGCGCGCGCGGCGGTACCGTTTCGAGGAGGGTCCGGCGGCGCTGGCCGTGCGCGTGCCCGAGGTACCGGGGGCAGCCGGGACATGGGGAATGGCGGGAGCTCCCGGGACCCTGGCACAGCGCCTCGGCCCGTGTCTTGCAGGTGCTGGACTCGCAGTACGGCATGTACGTGTGGCCCTGCGCCGTGGTCCTGGCCCAATACGTGTGGGCACACAGGCGGAGCCTACCCGGCAAGCGAGTGCTGGAGGTACTGCCCGCTCCCCGCCCGGAACCCGCTTTCGTGACCCCCGGGCTTCACGAACACGCTGTGCTTTCAGATCGGTGCCGGTGTGAGTCTCCCCGGCGTGGTGGCCGCTAGGTGCGGTGCCCAGGTGATCCTGTCGGACAGCGAGGAGCTGCCCCAGTGCCTGCAGAGCTGTCGCAGCAGCTGCATCATGAACCGCCTGCCGCACATACCCGTCCTCGGCCTCACCTGGGGCCGCGTGTCACCAGAGCTGCTCTCTCTAGCGCCCATAGACATTATTTTAGGCTCAGATGTCTTTTTTGACCCCAAAGGTACGTTAATGCTCTTAGGTATCTTTGGTTTGTGACTGCAAGGAGTTCGTGTCCAAGTAGTGCTGGGAACTGTGTCAATAGATCAGGTGGCACTGTGCTACTGACCTTGTTACTCCAGGGTAATTCTAGTTTAGAGCTGTCATAAATGCAGCTGAGGCTGTGGGAATAGAAGATGAAGTAAATAACCAAGTCCCTTCATGCCATGCTTGGGTCTCTCACACAGTCACTGTGCTTGCATTGATTTGTAATCACCATTACATAGAACCAGGCCTTTATCCACAGCTGGAATCCAGAGACTAACCCAGACTGCTTTATCCCCCCAAACTCCACAGACTTCGAAGATATTTTAACTACAATTTACTTCTTGTTGGAGAAGAACCCACAGGCTCAATTCTGGACAACTTACCAAGTCCGAAGGTAAATTTTTATGTATTTAAAAGTCAAATTTTAACTCTAGTCTCAGCTGTGGATGAGCATTAGCTCCTCTGTAGCACCACCACTGTGACTCAGAAAAGCTCTTTATTGTGAGTCAGGCTGCTATTTGCCCAGTAAACCCTGGAGGTAATAAAATCTAAAAACAATCCAAGAATCACCAATTTGCTGTTAGAAACCCGGCTATGTTGTACCAGTTTGGTGACAGCCTGCTCGTTTTTCTGTAGCAGTGATAACCCTGGGCTAGGTTTTCACTCGTTTCCTCCCCTCAGTGCTGACTGGTCTATCGAGGCTCTGCTCTACAAATGGAAGCTGAAGAGCACCCACGTTCCTTTGCATTCCTTTGGTGCAGACAAAGAGCACTTGGCCAGCTCCTCTATGCCAGGAAGACACACAATCGAAATGATGATCATCTCACTAGCACACTCAGAGGGCACTTCAGTTTATTCCACTTTAGATTTCAGTACAAGGTGATACTCGGCTGTTCACTGCAGCACAGAGCTGCAGAGAACAGTCCTGGTTACAGCAAACCTCATGGATATTTTGGGGAAGCAGCAATTCTCAAAACATGCAGTGTAAAAATAAAGCTGTTTGGTTTTCTAGCTCTGGCTTTTGAGAAATTTGTGTTCCTCCCCCAAGTCCGTGGAATAGTTCAGAGCCTCAATTCCATCATGTAAGCCACTGCACAACAGAGTTTAATAACCTGGAAATCCACAAGATCCAACCTAAATCCACAACTTCAGCTATGAAAAGGTAACTGCACTCTTAAAAAAACATCCCTGTAAGGTCCCTTTCCCAGGACTGAGAACCCTTCCCAAAGATCCACATACAAAAGCCAGCCCCTCTGTTGGTAAATGAGTGTGTGGAGACTATGCTAACCTGGAACATACAAACTCCTCAGTTTGTAAAAAAGTACTTTTAATCCTCAACAGAGCCATACTGCCAGTGTTCAGATGTTTCCATTCCCATTTAACATACATGCATAAGATAAAACAATGCATTACAATAACCCTTGACACAGGATGTTCGAAGTTACAAGTCATTTGGTACCAAATCAAGAGAAATCATCACTGTAAAGATCAGCCCCTGTCAAGCAGCAGCCTGGTGAGCCAGGGCAAGCACACAGCAATGCAATTATTAGTACTGCTCGGTGTGGATCTCCCACAACACCATCCCAGGACCTGGCTGGTTCTGTGTTCGTGGCCTGGTGTGTTACCACTTGCCACACAACATTGGGTTAGTAACAATACTAATTAAAGTTTGCCCATAGTAATTTAAAAGCAACCCCAGTGGATAAAATTTTTAAGCAGTAGAATGCATTCGTAGTTACTATATAGAAGTTAAACATTGACAGTATAATTGCAGAAATCTTTTCAAGCTAAAAATAAGCTGACCCAAGACATTAAGTTGAGAAAAGTTAACACAGAAAAAAATGTTTAATATTAACTACAGAGACAATGGATATAGTACAGAATGTCTTAAGCAAAAGATACACCAATCAGTACTTACAAAGGAATGAACCATTTCTTTGCTTAACATTACAATTCTCATATGTAAGTTCATATATGTACGTTGGTAAGCTTTACCATTCTGGAAAAAATAAGGTGTGTATATCATCAGCTAGATGTGCTCACTGTATGCTCCATTTTTTTTACGCAAGGCCCGGGTGACTGGAAGTGCAGTTGTCAGGCATTTTAATTAACTGGACAGCCATTTGTTTCTGCACGACAAGGCATCGTTACACAGGAGCAATCAGGAGACAACAGGAAACAGCCAAGCACTCTGCACTGCAACACGCCACCTTAACAGCTAACCAGCATTACTCAACTGCTACACAACTGCGCCTAGTGCACAAAAATACATAAGAGAAGAGATTAGAATTGAGTCTGATAAAACAATCCTTGCAAATATCAACTGTCACCTGAAAAGATTTCTACCAATTTGAATTTGAAGATGCTATTTTAATTCAAAGTTTTTCTTTCTTTTTTTAAAAAAAAAAGCATTTACAGTAAGTTTCAAGTTGAAGTTTTGTGGACTTGTATTTAAGAAATCAAGGTAAAATTGAGAGTACTTTTTGACAGTTAGCTATCAGCATATAATGGCTGCATGATTCCTCAGTATGAAACTGGAGGCAGCAAGTTACCATCGATTTTAATTTCCAATAGAAGTCAGCACTATATAAACAAAAATGAAGTTTTACCTCAAATATCCAAGCCAATAATGAAATCGGTAGTCGTTCACTTCACTAAATTACAAGAAATTTGAATAACAGCAACAAAATGGCACATAAAATGTAAAATCTGCCACTTGAGGCGCAACTTAAACAAGTAAAAAGTTAGACAAAATGTTACAAAATAACCTTTTCAACAGCTGGTTGCTCGGCCAGGGTCTCTCCAATGGGCTGAAGACTCAAGCGATCTTTTCCCCCAAAAGGCGTCCTTTATGTGGGTTCTCATTTAGCTGAAGCATCTAGGTTTGAAGAGAGAAAAGTTCAGCCAGGTTTCTACCTTGTCTATTATGGGTGTGGATGACTTCAAGGATACTTCTAGTTGTGTTTCAACTGGCTTTGCCTAATTTAATTAAGCTTTAGGAATTTCCACGGTGTTCCACCTCCCCCCCGTGTTGCTTTACTTCAGAGGCCAAATGTAAAATTCGGTCAAAATATTTAGTTACAAAGGAGAATAAGCATCAGGCTGTAGATCAAGCCACCATTAACTTCAATTCAGCCTGTTCACCACTCAATAATTCAAAGTTCTATAAAAGTTACAGAACTAATACTTCTTCATAAAGACTTAACTAAGCTCTAATTAGCATTCAAAACCGAAAATGTGACTAATTTTGCTACAATTATCTAACTCCAGAGCTAGCTGAGGCCCTTTCCTTTTAAAAAACAGGACCAAACAGTTTGAAGGGTTAAAGACACACTATCCTTTCCCCACCCCTTGTATCCTTAGATGCCTCTTCAAGATGTCGACTTGAGGAAAAACTAGTTTCCGTGGTTTTCTCGTTGCAAGGAATTTGCCACTTTTCTAGGACAGTTATTACCTCCAGTCAGTATAACGGCCACTGAACCGATCTTCCGTTCTAAAAGGATAGTGTATCTTTAACAGTGTAAGACAAACCTGCTCCAACACACGCCCACAGAAACTGGTCCCTGGAGGATCAGCCAAATCAGTTAAAATCTGCAATACTGGCCAATATTCTTTTAGCAAACAGGAGACCGCAGCTTTAAAGGGGAAAATGCAGATGTTGGATAAATACAGTAAGAAATAGTCATTTTCATCATAGGTTGCGTCTCATACAATATTTTATTAAAACCAAGGCATTAATCTTGCAATAAAACATTTTCTCCGTTTAAAAAAATATTTCTCCGTAGAAAACCCTTCAGTAATTATTTCCCTAAATCAATAACCAAAAAACCACTGCTCAAGAAAAAAAAATACCAAAACCAACAACTAACAATGTGCCCCACTAGGATCCACTTGGTTCAGG